GAGGAAGCTCATTTCCACCGCTTGTATCCACGATCTCGTTCTTTCCATCATGACCTACAGCTCGTGACCACAGGTGAGGGTAGGGATGTAGATACACTCAGCTCACCACGACAGGCCGGTATAGCGTCCGCGTCACTGCAGCACTAACCCATCTGTGGTTCTCCCGCTCCCTTCTATCAAACCCCAAGAGCCTGAGATACTTAAACTCCCCCACCTGGAGCAGGAGCTGTCCCTGAGTGGGCGCTGACCCTTTCCTGGCTGAGGACCGTGCTGATTCTCATTCACGAGCTCATCAATTTATTAAAAGGATTCCTTTTCTCAGTTTTAACATTTGAAATGTTTTTATGTTTCTGTATGAATAACGACTTCACACAGACAAAGGTCAAAGGTCATGCTTTATGTAATCTGATTACAGAACAGGCGAAAGTATTGATCAGGGAGTTTCGTCACTGGCTCTTGGTTTTAATCCACAGAGCACTCTGTGATGTCACAGTTTCCTTCCGGTCAGCTTTCAGACCCTCGGTGTGTTTTCACACCAGCGATTACGTTCATCACAGTCAGTTCTGACAAGTATTGATTACCTTGTACTTGTCGTTGGCGAACAGGATGGAGGCTCTGTGGAACTTGCAGAGTGGGTTTTTGGGGTCGATGCCGATCGCTCGGTTCAATGTTTCTAAGGCTGCATCAGACTTCTTCAGAGCATGCTGCACCTGCGCGCGCACACACACACACACACACACGCGCACGCACACACGCACACACACACACACACAGCAGAGGGTCAGTGCTACGAGCTAACAGCTCATCTGTTGCAGTCATTGCACTTCATTAGTCTCACTGGTCAGAAACCGGTTGATGTTTATTTGTTTGTCTCCTGTGTGGAGAAGCAGCAGGTGGAAGTAAGGCTCTCACGAGATGACTGCTCGCTTCACGCCCCAAACCAAAATGGAGGATGCTGTAAAGCGGCTTATGGTGCCGTGACATCCCTTTCACACAGAAATCTTGTAAACATCTAAAAAGTTGTAACTGTAACGGTTCATTCTGCACGTGCTCAGGTGCGCCTCCAGTGGGCGTGTGAAGACTTACCACTCCGATGTGGCAGAGCAGCACGGAGCTCTGAGGGTTGATGCTCAGGGCTTTCTTAAAGTGGATCTCAGCCAAGTTAAACTTCTCCTGTTTGTAGTAAATCATTCCCAGACCATACCTGCGCGCACACACACACACACACATGCACACACACACGCACACACAATGAAGATTAAAAACGATCATTACGGGTTTTTAAGAAAAAAAAATGGTGTCAGTGTCTATGAGTGTGGAGTGCGGCCCACAGACAGCCCACTATGATGTTCAAGAAATATTTGCGTTTTTTGATGAAGAAAAAGCTGCTGTGACAATAAAAACACGTTGTGTTACCTCACTGAGTCGTTTAACTGTAGTCGTAAGAAAAATATGTGTGTGTTTGTGGTGAGCAGCAGATCAAAGTTCATCATGTTCAGGCCTGTGCACCTGTGCGCACACACTTTGTATACAGTTGATTTTATGCAACAGTCAACACTGAACTGTAACTTTACTCTGTGTTTTCATCATTTCTAACACGAGGTTTGAGACCTTTTGTGCTCCACTCTGGGACTGTGGTGTAGGTTCTGCTCATTTCACTCTCACGTGTTTCTTCCCACGTCTCTGCGTTCCTCGTCTGTACCACTACACTGTCTCGGAGCATCTGCTTGTTTCTAAAGAGGCTACACCTGTCAGGGAGAGCAGGGCCCGTGGTGGAACCTTTATACATGTACTGTCAGTGGGCGTGGTCAATGTGGGGGCGTGGTCAGCGTGGAGGCAGTATCAGTGTACCAGGCATTGTAGTGTCTGTTGTTGACTCTTATGGCGTTCCTGAAGCAGGCGAGCGCTCGGTCCAGCTCCTCTGTCAGAACGAACTCGTGACCCAGCAGCGTGTACGCATACGCGAAGCCCGGGTCCACCTGAGACAGAGAGGGAGGGGCATCAGCTGACCCAGAACACAAAACCATTTCTGTACAGGTGAGGTGGCCCCAGCTGACCAGAGACCTTCTTCCCAGAATCAGCGCTTGGTAACGTGGCATACCTGGATGGCTCTCTGGAAGAACTTGATGGCGATGTCGTGCTCTCTCTGCAGGCTGAAACAGTTTCCTGCTACACACCAGGCCTGCAGACACACACAGCACATGTCTCAGTGTCACACAATCAGTGGGTTTCTGACCTGGACAGGTGAGCTCCTTACCTCGGGACAGTTCTTGTCCATGTCTGTCAGGTCTTTGGACAGCGCCGACAGGGCGACGTCTTTCTGCAGGTGCCACAGCGTGGTCGAGTAAATCTCCATCCCCTCCACTCTGTACGACTCGATCCTGCGCACCTCGCTGAACATGCGCTCCGCCTACAAACACACATTGCCATGACAACGGACACCAGCAGTATCCAAATGAGGCTTCACCTGGACTGGAGGCAGTGTGCAGGTGCGCCATGAGATGACCACAAAGACACCGCCCCCTTCCTTATTTTTTCCCTCCCCATGTCTGTGACACAGATACGTTTCAGATAAAACTGAGTCCAGTGCCAGCGGTGCTAGTACAACCAATCTGAACACACCTGCCCTGTGTGCAAAGGCCCCTGCTGTTAAACCACGATGAGGCCTGATTAATGAGACCACGTCAGCACGTCACACCACCCTCTAAAGACAAAGTGAGATGGTCTGAAAAATTGACGGGGACATTTCTACAGTCAGACGTGGTGGTGTGACGGTCTGGGGCAACTCCACCTCTGATTGGCTCTCCAAAGAATCTGAACTCAAACAATCGGTCACTGACAGTCATCAGGTCAGGGAAGTTACTTTTGCACAGCACTGTGGATTGGTGAGTCGCGACCAATGTTCCCTCTAATGTTTCATGTGTCTGAGCGAACACACAAACTCCCTGAGCTTGGACCACAGTGAGCAGCAGCAGACGTGTTACATGTTTATTAAAATAATGAAATTACAGCATTTATGTTAGACGACTTTTAATTAACTGCTTTAGCCCACTTACAATGAAACTTAAAAAACAATCTTGTCCATGTGCAGCATGTTAACACTATTGGAAGTAAAAATAACTTGAACTCCAATTTTAAAAACACAACTTTCTTTTCTTTTCATAAAGCTCTGACTGTATTCTGAGTCTGTGGTCTGGGAGAGAGTCTGTAACTCTGTCTGCAAATACAGTAAATAATGACCAATGTTGGGTAATTAATTATATAGTTACTTCTTCAAAAAAGTAACTGAGTTATATAAACAACAAAGTTTTTTGCAGCTGTTTACCTAAAAGTGCAGCATGGGTATTTTTTTAAACAAACATTTCAAACTACTTACAGAACAATCAGCTGTTCTGCATCAAATCTGATGCCACACAAATTATTTGTGTCACTCCAAAAATAATTTCTGTCACTATGAGATGAAGGAGAACAACAGCCTGATACCTGCAGGCCTGACAGCAGCAGATGTGTCACTGCTGTAACACCTGTAACACTCAGCAGTCGCCTCATTGTGCTGACACACAACAACACTATTGACTACACTACACACTAACTACACACTGACTACACACTGACTACACAAGATTTGTGCTAAATGTCGCAAATCTCTCTCTCTCTCTCTCTCTCTTGCCGTCTCTCCTACAACTTCCTCCTCTTCCTAAACAACTAAATGTCATGTTGTCATATCATTTTTTGATTGGTCCACATGGTACATTTTTCCACCAATAGGAAAGGGTGGTTTTTGTCTTTGCTCGCAGGCTTTCGAGCGTTTTCCTTATAAAACGCTGTTTTTACTGTTTCTTCCCGCAGTAAATATAAACAACGACAGTATTCAGGAAGAAAAACAAACATTGCAGATATTTTATCATAACTCTGGTTTTACGTGGCCGATCAACACAATTTAAAAACTGGTATAAAGTCCACACTTTGTCCGTCAGTTGTTCCATCTGTCCTGCTCACATCTCCAATGGTTGAACACGTTGTCATTAACTTCACTCCACATCAGCCGCTTTGCTAAAACACCGGTGTCGGCACATAAGGACGCTGTCATAGCCTGTCAGCGACGTTGATTAGCTGCGTATATACGAATGTGAATCACATCATTGGCTGGACTCTGGGATAAGGTGGCATCGCTCTGATCCCATACAGGAGCAGCCAGTCACTGACTAACACTGCAGAACAGAGTTGTTAACGTTTTAATTTTAACTTCAATTCAGGTTAGATTTTTATGTGCGCAACGCAGATTTTCTGTGTGCAGAGACGTGTCAGCTTAGAGGGAACATTGGTCAGAACCTCACGATCACGCCACCTAAAGGAAAGAAAGAAAGAGTGTGTGCGTTACCTGTGTGTACTCGGCCAGCTCGAAGTAGCCCTTGCCGATGTGCGTGAGGACCCAGCCGGTGTTGTAGTGCTGGGGGGGCAGCGAGGTCAGGATGTTTATGGCTTCTCTACAATTGTACGAGCACAGCGCCAGGTAGCCCCGTCCCAGTTCCCGTAGCAACGCCATTATGCTGTCTGAAAACATAACAGGTGCGTCACATAAACTGTACTTAAAGCACTGATTACAGCAGCCCTGGAGGAGGCGGAGCCTGGAGGCGGAGCCTGGAGGCGTACCTGCGGCGGCCCTCTGGTACTGTGGGATCTTTGTCTCAGGTAGACTCAGGCTGGGATCCAGTCTCAGGATGTCCAGGCTCTCGTTCAGGTTGGTGCTGTTAGACGTCTTCGCCGATTTACACTTCGTCTTCCTGTTCGGGATCTTTGTCGGGAACTTCATCTTCAGCTTCTTACTGTTCTCCTGCAGAGAGAAGGACAGTCAGGAGGAAGGCTGGAGGCACCAAACAGGTGCTACTACAGCATGTAGTGGTTAGATTTAACTTACTACTACAGTGAGTACGACAGTGAGTACCTTGGCAGTAGAGCTGGCGCTTGTAAACAATCTGGAGCTTCTTCTGGGCTGAACATTTGGCGGCCCCGACATGCTGGGACTGAGGACCTGAGGAGAGCCACTGAGACACAGACAGGTGATCAGAGGTGGACACACTGGTACCTGCAAGTCCATCAGAGGTGGTAAAGTGAAATTACGAGTCATCATATACAATTTTCAGCTTCTCCTCTGAAGATCACCTAAAGAAGATCAGAGCAGCTGAAGGGCCGACATGTTTGGATCATCAGGCAGTCAGAACTGATCCCTGCTGTGCAGCAGGTCCTGTGATTGGCTGCCATAGTTACCTGCTGTGAGGTGCAGAGGTCTGCGATTGGTTGAAGGGGATGGGGAGAACGTCTCTGCTGTTACCGCTCTGACTGAAGACAGACTTGGACTGACTGATCCTGGAAACAGCCTGAGACGGAAAGACAGGTACAAAAAAAACAGTGTTTGTTGTGTGTGTGTGTGTTTGTTGTGTGTGTGTGTGTTTGTTGTGTGTGTGTGTGT